CCATCATTGTTGTTTGGCGGGCCCGGGCTGGGGATTCGAACCCACCACCTTAGGTGTATGTGGCTGGCGCCGAGCCTACATCAGCGTTTTCTACTCCTTTACACTCATTTGTATAACTCTCCTGAGGGCAAGGACCTGTCTCACTTACCTTTGAATCACTTTTTCCCAGTTCATTGCCTGGCACACTGTCCATTATCAGAAAATGTATTTTGAATCAATTAATTCGTCAAAGAGAAGGTATTGCTCAGAGCAGACTTTTTATTTTTTTTTTTGAGACAGAGTCTCACTTTGTCACCCTTGTAGAATGCTATAGCATCACAGCTCACAGCAACCTCCAACTCCTGAGCTCAAGCAATTCTCCTGCCTCCGCCTCCCAAGTAGCTGGGACTACAGGCACCTGCTGCAATACGGAGTGTTTTTTGGTTGTAGCCGTAATTGTTGTTTGGCGGGCCCGAGCTGGATTCGAACCCGCCAGCTCAGGTGTATGTGGCTGGCACCTTGGCCACTTGAGCAACAGGCACCAAGCCAAAGCACATATTTTCAATAATTTATGCTGAAGCACTGGACAAACAAATGTGGGAAAACTCCATACCATATATAAAAATTAAATTTGGTATGGATTTTAGGTCTAAATCTAAAGATTAAAACCATTATTCTTCTTGGAAAGAAAATACAGAAAAATATTTTTGTCTCCTTGGACCAGGAAAAGATTTCTTTTACAATTTTCTTTTTTATATATTTCAGATTAATGGTACATACAATTAGTTACATAGACTATATTTGTAAGGTTAAAGCCTGGGCTGTGTCAATAGTTGTGTCCTTCACCCAAGAATTGTGCAATATACCCGTGCAATGTATATTCCATGGGGCAGGAATGTACCCAACCCTTTAACCCCCTACTTGAATTCAATAGTTTTTCTCTCACATAGTTGTTAATACTGGTTCTGATTAAGTACTGAGTACACGTGGTGTTTCATACAAGTGACCTCAAAACTACGGCCCGTGGGCCACATGCAGCCTGCCTAGGACATTTATCCAGCCCGCTGGGTGTTTTTGCCCCCGCTGCCTGTCCTGCTTAGCAGCCAACTTGTCCCGGGGCCAGCAGTCTGGCCCTCCAATGGTCTGAGGGACAGTGAACTGGCCCCCTGTTTAAAAAGTTTGAGGACCCCTGATTAGGAGAATGTTCTCCAAATCCTTCCAGGTAGTTTCAAAAGATGTGAAATCTCTATCTTTTACAGCTGAATAGTATTTCATGGTATATATATACCACAGTTTATTAATCCATTCATGTGTTGAAGGGTACCTGAGTTGTTCTCACATCCTTGCAATTGTGAATGTTTAATTCAAGTGCAGATATCCTCAGGGTAAAAATGACTTTCTTGCCTGGGCGCCTGTGGCTCAAGTGGCTAAGGCGCCAGCCACATACACCTAAGGTGGCAGGTTCGAATCCAGCCTGGGCCCACCAAACAACAATGACGGCTGCAATCAAAAAATAGGCGTTGTGGCAGGCACCTGTGGTCCCAGCTACTTGGGAGGCTGAGGCAGGAGACTCCCTCAAGCCCAGGAGTTGGAGGTTGCAGTGAGCTGAGATGCCACAGCACTCTACCCAGGGGGACAGCTTGAGAATCTTGTCTCAAAAGAAAAAAAAAAATGACTTTCTTTTGGGCAAATACCTAGTAATGGGAATGAAGGACCAGAGGGTAGCTCTACTTTTAGTTCTTTGAGGAATCTCCATACTTCTTCCCATAGAGGCTATACTGTTTGCAGCCCTACCAACAATGCATGAGTGATCCCTTCTTTCCACATCCATGCCAGCATATGTTGCTTTGAGACCACCCTTTGATGTGGGCCATTTTCATGGAGGTTAGATGATGTCTCAAAGTTGTTTTGATTTGCATTTCTCTGGTAATTAGGGACATTGAGCATTTTTTTCATGTGTTTATTGGCCATTTGTCTGTTATCTTCAGAGAAGTTCTTATTCATGTCTCTTGCCCAATTTTTAATGGAGTTAACTGATCTTTTCTTGCTGATTTCAAATATTTCTTAAAAGATGAAAAACACTAATCATAAAATATTGATTTTGTGCTTCACCAAAATTTAAAACTTCTCATTCCTCATACCATATACAAAAATTAACTCAAAATGGATCATATATCTATATGTAAACCTGAAACTATAAAACTTCTAGAAGAAAACACAGGAAAAAGTATTGTGACCTTGGGTTGGGCAAATACTTTTTTATCTACAAAACTAAAAGCATGATCCACAAAGGAAAACATTGATAAACTGGACTTTATCAAAATTTCAAACTTATGCTCTGCAAAATATTTTGTTAAAAGGATGAAAAGACAAATCGCTGATTGGAGGAAATTATTGCAAATCACACATACGATAAAGAACTTCTATCCAGAATATATAAAGAACTCTCAAAACAAGAAAACAATGTGATTTCTTAAATAAGCAAAGGGTTTGAAAAGACAGTTCACCTAAGAGGAGGTACGGAAGGCATATAAAATGCTCAAGATTATTAGTCATTAGGGAAATGGAAATTAAATCATTGTGGGTTAGGGATTCTGGGAAGATGGCTGACTAAAGGCTGCTTTTGCCAGAGGCTCCTGTCGAGAGGGAGAGAAGTTGGACTGAAGTGGACTCAGAGAAGCCAAAGGAGGGGAGTTCAGCACGAGGAAAAGAAAATGAGGTGCACATCATCCCACTGAGACAAGTTGTGAGGCCAAGAAAGAGGAAGAAACAGAGAGCAGGTTCAGAGGGACTAGTCTAAAGGCTCCTGTTGCCAATGGGATGGGAGACCCATTTTGAAACCTGGAGGCCCACAGTGGGCTTTCTGTGAGCAAGCAGGGAACAAAGAACCTCTTGAATCACCCCACGAAGAGAGCCTTGAGGTCCTGGTTCTCCCACACCTGGGAATTTCCACCTCTGACCCAAGTCCCCATCCTGCCTGGCACAAAATTCAACAAATATTCTCTCAGCAGTCCTGAACCCACAGCCCGCCCTCCCCCTAACTGGTTGCCTGCCAGACTGCCCCCTGCAGAGATGCGAGTGTTTGGTGAGTTCTCAGAGAGGCCTCTGCATTGTGTGTGCCCCTGAACCAAGCAACTGCTCTGAGAGGAAACCGTGGCCCTGCAGTTCCAACTTTGGCATGGGGAGGTGTGGTCTCTCCTGACTTTATTCCACTAGGAGAGTTCATTTTCCAGCTCCCCAGGAACTCTCAGAGAGAGCTGCAGTGGATTCTTGTTCTCCAGCTGCCTGGCAACTCTCTGAACTTGTTTGAGTGGGTGTTGCTCATGCTGCCTGAGGCAGGCGTAGATTCTTGTTCTCTAGCCACTGCTTTCCGGGACTGTAAGTTCACCATTTATTTGACTTTCTTTGAGCAGCAGTGGAGTTGGTTAGAGCAGTGAGAGGCAGATTTAGTGGGTCTGTCTGTAGATTCTCCCATCCTCCTCCACCTATTGCACGCAGGGGGTGGGTGGGGGTAGGTCTGCAAGTGTTCGTATCTTTGTCCAGCAGAGATTCCAGTGAAATACTGAAACTTAGGATTGTGTAAAGGGAAAAGCCAGTTTGTGCTATCTCACTAAGCTGGCCCTCAGAGACTTTGACTACAACCTGGAAAGGGAGATTTGTGAGGCTGTAGAAGAAAGGACACAAGCACAAGCTTCAGTTCATTGATTGGCGAAGGGTGGTTAGCCCCAGTTCCTGGTGCCTTCTGATCCAGTCTCACTCTGACAGTTTTAATTGTCAAATACATCAGACTGGTGTTTCCTAAGGATCCCAAATTAGATTATCTCTCAATAACTATTCAGGGACAACCTATCATTTCAACTAAAAAAAAATACATATATATAAGCTGAAAATATTCATAAGGATGAACCAGGAGAAGAATTCTGGCAACATGAAAAATCAGAGCAGATCAGTTCCCCCAAGACATTACAAGGGAGATACAGCAGAAAATAGCATCCATAGAGAAATTGCTGACATATTAGAAATAGAATTCAGAATATGGATGGCAAATACGATGATTGGAATTGAGGAGAAGATGGAAATAGAAATCAAAAAAATAGTCCAAAAGTTGTCTCAAGAAATTAACGGATTCATCATGCCTGTAATTCCAGCACTTGGGAGGCCGAGGTGGGTGTATTGCCTGAGCTCACAGATTTGAGACCAGCCTGAACCAGAGCAAGACCCCCCTCTGTAAAAAATAGCCAAGTGTTGTGGTGGGTGCCTGTAGTCCCAGCTACTTGGGAAGCTGAGGCAAGAGGATCACTTGAACTAGAGTTTGA